TAAGTCCAAAAAGTGCATGTGTAAAACACAAGATCGCATGGAAATCTTTACTAACTTAGTGGTTTATAAAGTTTTAGAAATTAATTTAAATACAATTAGAGATCTTTTGCTCATTAGTCCCCCAGTAGGAGATTTATTTCTTTTGTAAAGTCTGTGTCGGGAGAATTGACTAAGACTTAACGACTACCAAAAGTCCAAAAAACACATTTAAGGTGCAAGATTCAGGGAATGGAACGAACAATCAAATCGGGGTTCCGAAACACAAACTCGGTGCTGTTCGTCCGAGTTGGTTGGATATTAAACTTTCTTGGGCATCCATATTTTCCCCAACTGTTGCAATGGAAAGCATTTACAACGGATGCTGGGAAAACTGACTTGGATTTATCGATTACCAAAAGTCCAAAAAGTGCATTTAAGGTGCAAGATTGAGGGAAATTCTTTAACGTAGTGGTTTATAAAGTTTTAGAAATTGAATTTAAATACAATTATAGATCTTTTACTCATTATCATCATGTAGATGATTGCGTCTGAGCTTTAAAACTTTGAATTTTTTATTTTTTCAGAAAAGTCTATGGGAAAAATGAATGAGAAATTTAGTTCCAGAACCTTTTATGCTGCATTGTATTGTGCTCGGGACTCGGGGAGCATCAGCCTCAAATCTGGAACGAACAATCAAATCGCGGTTCCGAAAAACAAACTTGGGCTAGTTCGGCGTAGACGGTCTAAGTCGTTTGGACGTAAAATTTTCTCGGGCATCCACGTTTTTCCCGCGTTTACAATGGATGTCGTGAGAACTGACTCGGATTTATCGACGACCGACATTCAATAAAACGCGGTAATATCCACAAGCGCATCGTCCACGCTCACATGAACACCCAGGTCGATGCGATGCTAACACTGCAACCAGCAGAACACGCGGGGCTACGACACAAGCTAATATTATGACATATCCGTTAGCCTATAGTTCAGATAGTTGGCCCAAATAGTAAAATAAAGATTCCTCTCAAGCATTGTACCTCCAAACAAGTTCTGTACAACAGCTAAATAGAGTGGTTAATACCTGTACACGTCTGCCTGTTCGATGCGTTTAGCTGTTAGCTTAGCGCTGCAGCTAGCCTACTTTACAGAATTTACTGTACATGTTTTAGCCTGGCTTGGTAGAAAGAAAGCACCTTATATGAAGGAAAAAAACCTTTGCGATACACCTTTTATATAAAACGTTGTATTATTTCTGGCAAGAGTATGTAGCTTCGTAAAGAGCTGGTTCTGCTTCGTGGTGAGTAAAAACAGCTGCTCTTTTAGACTAACGCTAATGACAGAAACTAGCGCGAGGGTCAGTCCGTGTGAAATCAGACGCCCTCCCCCGTGAGCCGTCTCAGATTTGGCTGAAAAAAAATCTAAACATTTCTAAAATCACCAAATGAAAGAATCTCAAATTGCAGTTTGATCCCGTGAGTCGTTCCTGAGTTATGACCCGGTGAAATTTTGGGGCCATGCTCACTTTTTCTGACGCCTTGATTTATTTAAGCATGTTTGAGAGACCATAAATTCATAGAAAATAGAGCGAGAAAACTGATATAATCTCCAATTGTCTTCCCTTATAACTAGGGTGACCATATTTCCATTTGTGAAAACCCAGTTCACCTTTCGCGGTCTTGTTGTTTTGCGGATTTTTTATTTATTTATTTTTTTTGTGTCAATTTTGCATGTTTTTTTTTTTTTTTACATACGGGTGGGTCAGGACTAAACCAGGTCTAAACCAGGACTAATTTTGGACTTAAGAGAGAGAACGCCGAGCAGTTTGTCCGCAAAGTGCAATTGCCACGTTTACCTCCGTGAGGTGCGGAGCTCCAAGCCCGTCCCAACAGTGAGTCCCGTTTAGTCCTATTTTAGTCCTGTTTTAGTCCTAGTTCAGTCCTGGATTAGTCCTCCTCTTCAGTCCTGGAATCAGACCTACGTTAGTCCTGGTTTAGTCTTAGTTCAGTCCATGGTGCAGCGCAAAAATCCAATGTAATCTCGGGTTAACGGGCGGGTGCGGTGTTGTACTGGTGGTCTCCAAAAATGAACCCGTGCAGGACTCTGCGCTGTCGGCTCCATTACGGAATAAATGAATCTTCGGTTCGTTACGTAAAGAAGGAGGAAAATAACAAAAGGACGAGAGCAGCAATAAGTTTTAAGAAGGTGTTTTAAGTGTTCTGTCTGAGAAAAGTATATAAAGTTTGTGCTGAGGGGTTTTACAGATGTAAAACAGATATAATAATTGTAAAATATAAAGTTGACTAGTTCGCGGGTTATTTTTAGAACATAACCCCAGTGATAAACGCAACCTGTGCACATGGCCTCCCACTTGTCCCGACTGGGATGGAAAACGGAGAATTTCTTGTCCAAGTCATTGTTGTCATGTTGCAGACTGACCAACTGTTTGTGTCTGAGTCACAGAGCTATGAGAGACGCTCAGTTTAATGCCCCCAGTGAACGGTAATGAAAACCTGGACATTTGCATCACTTAAAAAAAACAAAAACAGGACAGGACGCAAAATACGGACATGACCGTGGGAAAAACGGACGTTTGGTCACCCTACTTATAACAAGCAGTTAGTGTTTAAGGCTATTAAAGATAAATGAACCTTTGTAGCAGGTGGAAAAGTCCCTAAGCTCCACCAAAAATGACACGTGAGAGCTCATTTTCAACATTTCCGTTTGAAATGAAGGAAGTTAATAGTAGATGTTTTTATTACTTTAAACTAATCAGAATATGCCAAAGTTTCTCTGGTAAGGTCACATTTGGTCCGTGTCCATATTTGGGACTCTACACCGTCCACATGAAAGCTCAGAAAAGTGTGAGATTGTTGTCAGAAATGTTCATTCTCTCAAATATTCAGGTTCAGCAGTTAGTTTGTAAATATCTGCTTGGAGTAAATAGATCTTGGACCTCAAAAATGGAAAAAATAAATTGAGCGGCAACCAAATGTGAGATTTCGGGGGCCCACAGCACCACCCTCAATCAAGATACCCAATATTTGACAACAGATTCAGAATCCATGACCAAAAATCTATAATAGTACAACTTTTCAGCTTCCTAGTTCTATTTTTTATGAAGTTATGATCTCTCAAACATGCTTATAAATTTATAAAAGGTTTCCGAAAAAGTGAGTGTGGCCCCAAAATTTCAACGGACCATAACTCAGGAACGACTCAAGGGATCGAGCTAAAACTTGAGATTCTTTCATTTGGTGATTTTAGAAATTTTTTGACATTTTTTCAGCCAAATCTGATATGGCTCATAGGGGAGACTCCTTGAAAACGGCTGATTTCTTACGGACTGACCCATGAATCCTCACTCAGTTCCTCCTAAAATGGCCTTTCAATCACTCTTATTCTATAACGCCAAAATAAAGTGTATGACAAGGTTAGCTTAGCATGCTTGCTTTCTTTTTGTCTCCGCTTTGGATCATTTTTGCATATTAGTTTTTGATTGTTTCTCTACACGTTTTAAAAATAAGCATGTCGGTGTTGATAATGATTGCGTTTGAGCGAATTAAGCTAGTCTGAATGCAATAATAATCCCTAGTAATGGTAACGCCTGGATATAGCCCTTGGAATAGAAAAGACCATCCGCCTTATTAATGTCTAGAATCTCCTCGCGAAGCTAAATCTAAGTAAGTATTGGCATCTGTTTTCATAGTGCTGTTTGTAGTAAAAGACTGCATAAGCCACAGTTAATATTTGCAAAAGAACATTTCTTTAAGTGACCGAGGCTACGTCCACAACAACAGTTTTCATTTTATTATCAGGCTTTTAAGTTTAGTTTTCAACCAGGGAAATGAAAACAAAATGCTTCGTTGGAAAATAAATTGCTAAAATTTGAGCCGTACTTTCTTAAACGAGTCGACTGGCGAGTTTCTCAAAGCTAATCCTCGTATTAAAATGTAAAATATAAAACAAAACAATTAATTATATTTTGAAATAAGGATGACCTGATTATTTTTATATGTAGATGACTTCAGTTTGTAGACGGTGACCAGATTTTCAGTTTTATAAACTGGGACACACCCGGGTGAGAATTTGCAAATCCTTCTACGGTCACGCCAAAGTTCGCCAAACTCTGCTTCTGATTGACGTCATCGAGCAGCAGCAGCGACACAGTTTGAAACGTGAGGCGCGCCGGCATTTGCTGACACGTAAAAGGACATCGCAGCGGCCGATATCGTCTTTCTCCAACCTACATTATCTGTTATTATTTATAGAACCCACAGTAAATGCACATTTCTATTATTATTTATTATATCGTAGGCTATTTTATTGTTCTTCTTCTATTGCATGTACATTTACATTGCCACTGCTCTCCTCTAATCAGTGTCGGGGAGTAACAGATTACATGTACCGGAGTTATGTAATCAGAGTACAAATGATGAGTAACTGTATTCAGTTACAGTTACTGTTTCAGTGAGTGGTAATTAGATTACAGTTTATTGAAATAAATGGATTACAGTATGGCGGTATTTTCCTGTTTTCACATTTTGGGCTAAACCAGGACTAAACCGGAACTAAACCAGGACTAAAACCAGGACTAAAACAGGACTAAAACCAGGACTAAAACCAGGACTAAAACCAGGACTAAACCGGAACTAAACCGGGACTAAACCGGGACTAAACCAGGACTAAACCAGGACTAAACCGGGACTAAACCAGGACTAAAACCAGGACTAAACCGGGAGTAAACCAGGACTAAAACAGGACTAAAACCAGGACTAAAACCAGGACTAAAACCAGGACTAAACCGGAACTAAACCAGGACTAAACCGGGAATAAACCAGGACTAAAACCAGGACTAAACCGGGACTAAACCAGGACTAAAACCAGGACTAAAACAGGACTAAAACCAGGACTAAAACCAGGACTAAACCGGGACTAAACCAGGACTAAAACCAGGACTAAACCGGGAATAAACCAGGACTAAAACAGGACTAAAACCAGGTCTAAACCAGGACTAAACCGGAACTTAACCAGGACTAAACCAGGACTAAAACAGGACTAAAACCAGGACTAAACCAGGACTAAAACCAGGTCTAAACCAGGACTAAACCGGAACTTAACCAGGTCTAAACCAGGACTAAAACCAGGTCTAAACCAGGACTAAACCGGAACTTAACCAGGACTAAACCAGGACTAAAACAGGACTAAAACCAGGACTAAAACCAGGACTAAACCGGGACTAAACCGGGACTAAACCGGGACTAAACCAGGACTAAAACCAGGACTAAACCGGGACTAAACCGGAACTAAACCGGGACTAAACCAGGACTAAAACCAGGACTAAACCGGAACTAAACCAGGTCTAAACCAGGACTAAAACCAGGTCTAAACCAGGACTAAACTAACACAATATGACACTAACAGTAGGATGGAAATAATTGACGGCAGCAGTGATCTCATATAAAAATCATTTCTCTATCAGTAATATTTTTAATCTGGTCAAATAAAGACTGAACAAACAAGAATTTACAGGATGTGGTTGTTACATTCATGTAGTTTTAAAAAGCATGACAATATCAAGTAATCCAAAGTATTCAGATTACTTTACTCACTTTAAGTAATTTAATGGATTATGTATGTATTATGTATTAAAAGTCACCTTCCCAACACTGCCTCTAATGCACTTCAAATGTCAAAGATGAACTGTTTTTATTGTCGAACTCTAGTGTAGGCCTAAAATATGCCCCCTTTATTGACATCATTGCATCTGTTGCTCATAAAACTTCAGTGTTGGAAATTGGCGAGATTATTCTGTTTAGTTATGTACATTTGCCCACGTTACATTATTTATTTTCGTACCTAAAAAACTATTTGTTAACCAGCAACGTAGGTTAAGTCTAGCCTACCTAATCCATGCTTCAATGTGCTTCAGTTTGGATACCATCTCATGATCTTGTGTCCTGAACACATTTAAGATCAACAAAACGTTAGTATGAGATTGTTCTCGTCGTAACTGATGAACGGTGTAACTACGATGTTAAAGACGTGAGCCTTAGTTCCAACTTCAGCTGATCCAGATTAGGGATGGGCATTCGATGAAATTTTCTTAATCGATCGTCGGAAGAATTAAAGAGCGATTAGCGATTAATCATTAACGGTTTTATATTAAAATGATCATCATTATTATTACTATCTGCACTACTAATCTGCATAAATAAATTCAACTTTACGACATATAAACCGTAACGACTCTAGAGCCACATCAGCCCGTTTGACATTATAATGTGTTTAATTCAGTTTTGTTCAACTCTCACAGAAACAAAACTTAAAACTGCATCGCTAATTTGCATAAACTAAGCAAAGATAAAACTCCAGCTCTTGTGTCGCTGATGTGGTTCAATTTCTGTCGGATTAAAAGACATGACTCAGGTGAATACAGGTTAGTGTGACCAGATTTGTGTTTGTCAAAACCAGGACACCGTACGGGGGGAGGGAGGTGGGGACTCGTCATCGACATTGCGCGACTCTCACCTGGTAAAACTTTTTCCCACTGGACACAGAAACATATGTGCTGCTTTATTCACTGTGCACATGGACTCACACTTGTCCCGAACGCAACGGAAAGCGCGGAATTTCTTGTACAAATCGTTAAATACGCATTTGTGCTTCGGCACGCTGCAGGCTGACCCACTGTTTCTGTTTGCTCGCTCCTTCTGATGCAGAGACACATGTACAGACCTGTTTGCTCACGCTACGCACAGCAACCTACATTCGGTTTGTCGATTAAAATTAACGTAATGGATGAAATTCTTAATGATCAATTATCGGTTAATCGATTAATCATGCCCATCCCTAATCCAGATCACGGGTTTCGGTCGAGCCGTGAAGCTCAACCAATCAGAACTTTGGCGTGGCTATGGTAGGATTCGTAAATTCGCTACCAGGCTTGGGTTCAGGTAAATAAAATTGTTAAAAGAGCATGTAAGATTGTGCATTTTCATTTCAGTCATAATCTGAGGAGCTTCTGTCGTTGCATTTTTTTTTTAGCTTTATGGTCATTTGCAAGCACAGATTTCTGAATTTTAGCCAAACAAATGTCAAATTATGCTCCTCTTTACTGTTGCCAGGGATCAGATTAGTCAAAAATTTTGATAGTCCCATGATAATTCTGGTTTAGACCTGATGTAGTGCTGGTTTAATCTCAGTTTACGCCTGTTTTAGACCTGGTTTAGCTCAAATTGGTCAAAAATAGGGACACTTGGGTCATTTCTTATATAAAACTTGGACAAATTACTGGTTTTGTATAAATCTGCTGGGACAGGGGACACAGGACTCAAAACTGGGACTGTCCCCGGTAAAAAGAAACGTCTGGTCACCCTAAATTTGTAGCATTATTTTAATATGTATTATGTCTCAAAGTAGGATTAGCACTGAGACAAAAAGACCTATTTTTATAGCGGCATCGACCACAGCTTCCTGTCTATTGCGTAATCGTTCAGGATCTATTAATTTCAGTGAACAGGAAGTAGTACGGTGAACAGTTCGCTCGCCATTTGTCGTTGCGTACAGATTTTAAATTGCGTTAAAATGAAAAAACGTGAAAGTGGACGTAGCCTGGGGAGTGCATCTGTGCATTATCAGACAAATGAGTGGACTTCCCTTCATTTGTGAGTTTAAGTGTTTTTTTTCGTTCTTTTTTTTTTTTTTTTTTTTTTTTTTACCGTGTGTCTAGCGCGTCCTAAGAAATGTATGGCTTTACTCCATAGAAAATACTGTCATCATCTTTGGGGCAGGAGGTGGGGGCAGTGGGGCGGGTGGGGGTCGGGGTCCGGGTGCGTCGGGGTTAGTCACGTGTCCTTCCAATCGCTTCGCTCTCTTCCTCGCCGCGCTATCAGATCGCTCCATTTTGGCGCCGGAACCTCCTCTTCTTCTCGGGCCTCCGTCTCCCGTCGCTTTCGAGTCTGGTCCTGAGACGAGACAGATCCAGCGGGGCAAGGAGGCAGCGGGCCGATCCGTAAGCCCCGCCCCCTTCTTTCTGACGCGTCCGTGTGCCTCTAGTTCCTCTTCCGTTTCGCCGGTTCCTGTCTGCGGGTCGGTTCCAGTCATTTCTTGTGGAAGTAGATGGTGTGCGTGAGGCCCGACTCCACCTTTGGTATCTGGTCGCTGATGATCTCCACCAACATCTCCGGGAACTCCACCTTCAGGGACTGAGACTCGCGGAACGTGTAGAAGCAGAAGTCCAGCAGGTTCCCCACCAACTGCAAGAAACCAGACACAAAGACATGTCAGATACGAGCTTCTGGAACACGTGAAAATACCTGCAACTAAAGGTCCTACATTAAGCAAAACTGACTCTTGTGAGCTTTAAGCCATGTTAAAATGACCTGGCGTAGTGTTTTGTTTCATTCACTCATTTGAGTAAACCCTATTATTACCCTATTATTAGTACCATATTTTTCAGACTCTTAAGGCTGTTCAGGGGCTTAACGCTCAATTCAGATTTTTTGTTGTGAAATCCAATATTTTTGCGAGGTCGTTCACATTTCCAATTAAATGTGACTTGTATGTGACTCCAGTGTGAACATTAAATGGCCTAAAAGTGTCCCGCATGTGCACTGGAGACACGACGACGTCAACCGCAGCGAGCGTGCTCTGTGTTAGAGCATCGAGCACCTGGAGATTTTAAAGTTCCTCTCGTACCGGAGCCAGAACATGAACAACTTACTTGTTTTAAGGAGGAGATTGAGAAGGAGAAGGACGCGGTTTTTGGCCGTGGCGTTTTGTGGGGCAGCGGCAGCGACGTCCGTTGAAAGGAACGTGTGGATGTGGAGACGGAGCCAAGAGTGGTGGGATAGCGATATGCTTCGTTTCAGTGACACGGAGTTCTTTAACAATTTTCGTATGACGAGAAGAACGTTTGTGTACATTTGTGTCTTGTTGATAACGTGTAGGTGGATGAATGTGTTTTGGCTGTTCAGACTGAAGTCACATGTCGAAAGATCAGATATGTATTGGTTTTAGGAGCACATATCCAAGTTTCCTGGGTCGCATTTGAAAAAATCTGATCTGTGTCGTTCAGACTAACATTAAAAGAACAGATAAGGTCACATAGGGGCTAAAAAATCAGATTTGGGTCACAAGGCACACTGGATTATAAGGTGAAATATCAATAATGCTGAATTCTCTTGTCTATTTTCATACATAAGTCACACCGGATTATAAGGCGCATTAAGTGAAACAAACGGACGACACTTGAGACTGATCCTTAGCCCAGGCGTCCATGATCCATCGGCAGATCGTGGTGTAATTCGCCCGGCGTTGTCTCTCTGTCTTGGTGAATGTGGATTATGAATGTGAACGTGGGAGTATAATTTTAGTTTTTTGGTTTTTTTTCCTACGGGGAGGACTCAAATATACACTGAGTAATAATATGTTTAATGCAGCTTTGTGCACATTTGTTTACGTTTTACAGAAACAAAATTTAAAACCACATGGCTCATTTGCATAAACTATAAGCTCCGAAAAAACAGCTCACTCCTTATGCAGTGATACGGTTCAGCTTCTGTCGGACTAAAGGACACGACTCAGTGGAATATGAGTGTTCTTTCTGTGACAAAGTTGACATGGAGACGACAGCAGTGTGCATTGAATCGATGCAGAATGCTCCGACAATCCATCAAGCAGTGAGGCTTCGTAGTTTACCAAAGTCATACTAAAACATTTTGACAGATTTTTTTAGCGCCGTGTAACACATAAAATCAGTTCGAGGTCAGTAAGCACAACCAGAATTAATACATAAAGCGCACTCTCGATTTCTGAGAAAGTTAAAGGATTTTATGTGCACCTTATAGTCCGAAAAATACGGTATTCAAGTTAACAGCTACTTCTGACCTTTTGTGAAGTAGAGTTTGGCATTTCCAAGGCTGAAATGACCCAAATGATTCTAGTGAAGGTGTGTTGAGTTTAAAAATATGGTGGAGCTTTCTTGTATTTCCACATGACATCACAAGGTGGAACAGAGTGTTTTCTGTTTGAGAGAAGCCTAAATACGCAGGGTTTGTGTGTTAAACATGTGTGAATGAAACAAAACACAAGTCCAGGTGTGTTTGTGATGAGGAAACAACATAACATAGATCAGAAATAAGTAAATACAGAAAGTAAATACAAGATAAATTAGTTTAATGCCACACTGTGGAAGGTTCCAGGCGATGCACTGACATCTCCATGGAAACAAGCAGGTGGCATGCCCCCATCAGAAACAATAAAGTTATATCGCCATTCTTCTCATATTACCACAACACATCACATATTCAGTAACACTTCCAAGATAGCACAGAGTACGAAGAATTAGTATTCGTTGTTTTATGTTGCACCACGTTGCCAAAGCAAATTCTTACTTTGTAAATTTCGTTCACTTAAAGCGCCCAGATTACACTGTTTTCTGATCTACGTTAAAATGCTGTTTCCTTAATCAATAACAGACCTGGAGTTGTGTTTTGTCATTTAATTATCATTATCATTTAATTCTTCTCTTTAGAGTTTTCTCTTAAACTGAAAAAAACATTCATATGTCATGTGGTAATAAAGAAGACCACACACCTTCACTAAAATCATTTGGATAATTTTAGCACTGGAATTGCAAATCTCTACTGAACAAAAGGCAAAAAGTCCCCGTTAAGTCAAAAACTACCACTACATGACATCACAAGGTGGTACAGAGCTTTGTTGACGTAGACAGTAGGAGTGTAACGGTACATGTTTTTTTGCTGAACTGTTTCGATACATCCACCGGGAGGAGGCCCCGGGGAAGACCTAGGACACGCTGGAGGGACTATGTCTCTCAGCTGGTCTGGGAACACCTTGGGGTCCCCTCAGAGGAGCTGGAGGAAGTGTCTGGGGTGAAGGAAGTCTGGGAGTCCCTGCTTAGACTGCTGCCCCCACGACCCGACCCCGGATAAGCGGAAGAAATTGGATGGATGGATGTTTCGACACATGACGTTCGGTTCGGTTTGGGCTGTGCACGAGTGAGTTTGCACAATTTGTGTGTTTACGTTCTGTCCACTACATGTGCAGCTACACGGAGGCTCGGCTCTTTAATACTCATGAGGGAATGCATCCGTGACTGGGGTGGCAGTGTTTCCCGCAGCGCTTTATAGTTAGGGCGGCCACCTTGACAACAACTGCCCCCCCCGCCTTGACTATGTCCCTTCGAACCACATGAATCCTCACAAAACTACTGTCACTGCGCCCGGTCCTCACTTTCGCCTTTTGCCAGCACCGGAATCTATGAATATGAAGATTGAGTAAAACTTCATGCTGGAACTGTTAGTGCTGCGCTTTACGTTTTGAAAAGTTTTGTTTACTGTTTACAAGGAATTAATTTTTTATAATACTTCATAAATTTGTTGCTTATTTGAGAATATTTTATTTAACTTATTAGTATTACCAAGCAGCACTTTGCATTTATTTTATTTTCTCATTTGTATAATGTTAAAACAAATTGTTAGTTTAATAAATACACAAATAAAAGCAAGTGGTTTTGCATTTTGTTCCCAATCTATGCCGAAAATGAATCATACAGTGACCTCAAAACCGAGGTACGTCCCAAACTGTGATTTTTGTACCATTACACTCCTAGTAAATACAGTAATAAAAAGTTACTCAAACACAAATCCAGGTCTGTTTTTGATTCTAAAACATGGGTTAAAGGTCACAAGAATCAATTTTGCATAATAGGACCTTTAAACTATTGAGGAGACAGTTCTGAGTGCGTTAACTCTTCTCCTTGTGACCACAGGGGGGCAGCACTGATCTCTGTCCTTGTTCGCTCCGGGGGTCATGCGTTAGCGCTCACCCCGTTCACTGAGCCAGAGGGGTCAGTGAACCTCGTCCAATCCGCCATGAATCTGTATGACCCTGCAATGACACTACATCGAGTTAACAGGTTCGATAAACTTTAATCTGGCCCCCGTCCCGCCCACGACGAGGGGTGAGCGGCTCTGTAGTGACCTTTCCCTCGGGGACATTTCGGGTCTGATGTAATCCCCATTTCCAACCGCAGCAGATTCAAGGCTAAATGCATTTTTGTGAGATTAAAATGTTTGGATTTTGAAGTGGGGGTTGTGTAAGGAGACATGCAAATACAGTCGGTGTGTGCAGAGCCGAGCAGGTGTGGGGCCCAGCTCGTAGGCAAACTAATTTTTTATTTATTGTTATTGTGGGCTAGAGTCCTCTCCTAGGAACACAACAAGGCCATGACCACGACTAAACCATGTCCCCAGATCAAATATTGCTTTAATGATAACACTTGTAATGCCTATTTATTCTTGGTTATCAAAACACTGGGCATGATCGAGTTTGTGTGATCTCTCAGAAGTCCAAGTAGGTTCTAAAGCAAAACAGACATTTGATTCTGACAACTGGACAAAAGTACAACCAAGCAACTTCTTGAGTTCTGGTCAGACGCTGGTGGAAGGAAAGATTTACACAAAGAGAGAAATTACCAAGAGACTAACAAGACATGTTTAAAAAGCGACGACTGACAGCTGACTGACAGACACAACAATCCAACACAGCCTGGACTAACCAGGCTGGCGCCACCTAGTGCCTCCATTCAATTTCATTTCTCTCCAGCAACTAGGTCAGGAATCAAAATACACTAGATGGTTCGCAGAAACCCTGGAAGTTGTAGACTGCGCACTGGCCAATCAACGAAGAGCTGTGAAGTCATGACGTCAAACTTGTCGCATCTGTCTGGGTCCCTTTTGTGGAACAGCACAAGTAAGTAAGTAAGTCTTTATTTATATAGCGCTTTTCACAGACATTTTTGTCACAAAGACGCTTTACAGAGCATTATTCAGCATTATTCATTCACTCTATACCTGGTGATGGTAAGATACTGTTGTTGCCACAGCTGCCCTGGGGCAGACTGACAGAAGTGCGGCTGCCATGCCAATCGGTGCCAATGGTCCCTCCGACCACCACCAACACTAACGCACACACCACTTTCATACTAGGCAATGTGGGTGAAGTGTCTAGCCACTAACACCAGTGTTAATTTCCACCTTGTTGATTGATTGTATTTAACTGACCTGGACTATCAACTGGTCTTGGAGACCTGTAGCATGTTTTGGGTTGGGTTACAACAGTAAACAAAGCGTCAAGATGTAGATGAAGCCAGACATTCTGTGTTGCAACGATTCCCGAGATCAAGGATTTAAGGCCGAAACAAAGAGAATGTTTGGGGAATTTTATCAAG